TTCGATTACGTCAGTCAAATATGTCCATACAATCAATCTCAGTCCTCAGGGTCTGGCTGGCTTAGCATGGTTTGGGTATCTTTAAGATTTGGCTTCTTATGAGAAAACATACTATCCCCAGCTCTTCCAAAGTGTCGAGAGCTCACACATCATCATAATATACAAAGAGAACTCTTTTGGCAATGTCCAAGCAGTCACTGAAAAAAATTGCTGTGAGCTCCCATATCTTCAAGAATCTTCCAGCGATGCGAACGGCACTAGATAAAGTTATACAAGTTATCACAGTGTATCACAGAAGGATCGAATGGACCAAGACAAAGTTCCAATCAGTTCAGTCTTTCCCTACCCTACCGGTAGAACCGTGCATCTGGCAACGCCGCTTCTTCCACGACGCGTCAGACTCATTGAGACCGTGACGCCCGCCGGTAAGCCCAGAGAGCAGAATCATAGACGCATATTGACAACATCACTCCATCATTCTGTGTTCTAATCGCAGATGTACCGGTAATCTGCCACGAGTGATCACCCACAGGCGCCATATAGGTCGATAGATAGCCTAAACCGCAAATAATGCATAATGTATGCTTAGAAGTACTGTCTACCAATCCGCCGTTTTCAACCCCCACAAAAGTTTTTATAATAACGATCGGGAGATTCTCGAAGCGAATCTTAGCGATTTTTACGTTTTGTTACCCGTAGCTCCACTGCCATTGGACCAACAACGAAAAGTACAAGATTTTTCGCGCGTCAAATCAGATCAGTACTTTCCGAATTATAAGGGTCCAATGATTAGACACGCGCGAGAATTGAAAACAATATCGGTTAATCCCATCACCACACCGAGCTCAATAAAATATATTGTGTGTACATAATTAATAAAAAGTTAATTTTTTACTGTCGGTCGGCGGAATAACGCCGCCAAACCGTAAAAAACGTATTAATAGGTGTCATTGAAAAACGCGAATTAAAAAATGTAGCGCTGTTTTTTTCCGCGCGCGTTTTTTTTTTGTTGTTGTTTTTTACCGATGCGAGTGATGCCGTTGACCACCTGTTGTTGTAGGGTGGCTATTAATAGAAATCGATACGGGGGAGGGGGAGGATTCCGTTCATCGTAAGGGACGACGATTCTAGCAGCGAAGCACAATATCGACTTCAGAAGTGGGATGAGAACATATAGAGAATATATACTGGAATGGATTGCACCATCGAAATATTGACTCATTTTGAATGAAAAATGGCGTCTAGTCCGTTGACGACGGCATTTTCTACGCATGCCGTTATTGATTGTTCAGCAAAAACTAGTTCCTCTGAGGAAAAAGAATTTTTCTAAGACTCAAGGGCTAAAATACGGAGGAATATGTCGAACAGGAGCTTACAATTATCAAGGTTGAGAGCGTATGTGTACTAACATCAAAAAATTAAGATAAACCCACCCCACGCCATACTACCTCCACCCCCAAGTTTCTTGTGCCTCTAAATGTATTTTAAAAATGACCAGGATCATCTGAAACATCAAAAAATGAATTGAATCCGATTTTTATTCTTTTTCGGTTTTGGCCTTTTCCTGTGCCACCACTGGACCGATTTCCAAAAGCTACAAAGCTTTACGTCCTTAGCTTAGTAGTAACATTGTGCAAAAATTTCATTAAAGTCCGCGCAATATTTCTGATGTTAGGGGGGGTTATAGTATTAGCGGACAGACCGACAGACAGATTTATGGAAATGAGTGTCATCATATCACATCCAAAAAGTATAATATCTAATTTTTGCGATTGACAATACTTAGAGCGAATAAGACTATCAAGGGATTTTACTTACTTACTAGTATGCCACTACAAAGACAATCAGTGTTCCACTCGCCAAGGTTACTTAGAAGGAATCTTTAAAACTATAAAAGTACGACTAAAAATTTGAAAATTTCCAAGCCTCTAGGCCACTTGAAAAATGGAGCGGTTTTATTAAGCGCTAATTCAAAAAACAGTTCAGACATGCCACAAAAATAGTCGACATCTAAAAAATCGGTTTAGCGTGATTTTTTCAAATTACTTACACAGGTTTACAATAACTTTCGAAATTTAAAATAACAAAACATTTTTTATTTCATTTCATCATGCAGTCTTGAAAATTTACTCACCCCCTCCACTATATCATGTCCAGTAGTTTATAGCTTCCCTTATCCAGGTTGTATATCCTAATTCCTAGTATTGCCGCTGTCCCACAAGTACGATAGAACACAATTTGTTGCACTATATCAGCCCCTTAACCGTTAATTCTTTTTTAATTTCACCTAAAAGTACCAAGAAATAATATATGGAATTCCTTTTGAGCCACTAAAAAGAACTCAAAGTTCTTTCTTAGCAAACCAAAAAAGAACTACACTCCCTATCTTCAAGGAGTATCTCAGATGCCAACATTTCCCCCACTTTTTAACGGTCGTTCTTTGAAGTGTGCCATATTGTCATTAGGTCTTGGAATCACTCGAGAAAAACGAGCATATGCCTGCGGCGTTGCCAGATTGCGCTCCAAGAATAATATCACGAGAGCTGAGGACATATAGTCGAAATCACGAAAGATGACGATTACGTCACCATTTTAGTCTGTAGTAAAGACAAATGACAGCGATTTGTGAATATATTCAATGAAGTTTCTGATATGTTAGACAGAGACAAACAGAATTTTATTGTCTAAACAAACTGTATTGCTAATGTGCATGTATCCGATAAAGATGGACGATGTTTTCATGTTGCATGACCGATCATATTCGAAAGATGAATAGTTAGGTTATGTTAAAGCAGGTTATGTTGTTTTCGAATAATACTTTGGTCTTTGGTGTTCCTGTCTTAAGGTATTGTACTCATAACTGTTTTTTTTTCAAAACAAAACTCCCCACTAGAACTATTATTAAGGTATCACTAAAAACAATGAAATAAAATTAAAATAAAAATAATCAGTGAAATAACCTAACTTCGCAACAAATCATAATATACATTTGTTGTCATTATGTTTCTGACTCATGATTTTATCATCGACGCACGTCCATTGATTACTTTAGTACAATTTATGGTATGACGTAATAGTCTTCTTTCGTGATTTTGACTATATAAACCTCTTGATCTTTGTGAGCAGAAAATTTGCGACAGATGACCCTTATAGTGCATTTCACGGAATGGGGCACCGAACTTATATTTTTTTAATAAAATCCGTAACGTTCTCGCAACATATCTAAATAAAATTTGGATGACTGCTTCCTCAACATAATTTGAGGCACACTTTAAAGGATACCTCATATAATTGTTTTTGTGTTTAAAAAAGTACAGAAAGTAGCAGTTTGTTTAGAGAACGATCCATTTTCTTTAATGTATTGCATAATTGTCGGGGTAGTCCAAAAAAAATTCAAGATGAATCTGGACTAAAAATACGTACACATTTTCTGCTCTCGTTTGACGTAATGACATATCACCTTCTAGGTCTTGGACAAAGAAACGATACTGTCGTTTCCAGTTAGAGAAAAATCTACAGGGCATGACAACACTGCGTCTCTAAAAAATGATTGTATTTCAATCTTGCGTATAATCATGTTTCTTTTTTACAGGTCCAGCATTAAGAGTGACTTAAGAAATACCCGACATAGAGAAATTCTGCGAACAGCGGCAACGCCGCACCGCTGAAGATGAGCGACGCACGCGACCGTTGGTTTTCCTTGAGTGATCTCGGCCCGTGCCTTACATGCTCCGATGGGCACACGACACTTGGGATCGCCGGGGTACCAGAGGACATGGTTCGGTGCCATTGCGTACCAAAGGGCACGTGTATGTCTCGCAGAGCTCAGGAAGTAATTTCTTGCCTCCGTCGGTTTTTATAAGTTTCGTAATAATCGTGCCTTCAATAGTTTAGTCTTAGGCCTCTTGCACACGACCGATCATTCCGCCGACCGGTTGTTTCTCCGACCGGCAAAGAAATCGGGATTATCTTACACACGATAAGCGATCGGCCGGTTACGTGCCGTTTACATTGCCTTCTGCATGAAGGCCAGTGCTGTACTGTCATCCGACGTAGAAGGAGCTTGGCTATTTTCGTTTCGTGCATTGTCAAAAACGAAACGTGAAAAGAAGATCGTGCTTGTGTGTTTATTGTATAGACGAAGAAAATACAAGAAAGCTTTAGCAAGAAGATTATGGATTCATCCACTGGTAGCTGAATGAAGTGCAGTAGGAGCATTTTATACCTTGTTTACAAGACTACGAGAACATGAAGCAAAATTTTTCAATTACTTTAGGATGTGTGTTGCAACGTTTGATTATTTACTACAGCGTTTGGACAAACATATAGCCCTCCAAGAAACAAACATGAGACAAGCGATACCACCCACAGAAATGCTTGCAGTTACAATAAGGTAAATAATAGAATTAAAATGTGATTTTAGAACTAGATATATTTAAATAAGGAACATAACGAACAAATTAAACAAATCAAATTCTGGTTGTAGTTAAGTCAGATTGGATAAACTATTGTGGTGTCAAAGAATGTGGATATTCAAGATTATTCTCACAGCGAGATGTAGTTGGATCAAATGACGTACTTGATTGTGGTATTGTCTGTGGACACTGCAATGTATGGTATGTCAGTGTCCACTGCTGGCTGTATGACTGAGTTGCTGGTGGTACAAACGAAGGTAGCGATCTATTGGTATCAGAAGTCATGTTAAAAGCATCACATTTTTGCTTTCGTTTAAAACGTTGTACAAGCTGCAAAACTTCTATGCGAAATTGAAGTTTGTCATCTTCATCAAAGTTTTCTACAATCGGCAAAATGGAATCAAAAAACGATTTATCTTCACTGATTGTGGGTATGCTGTCCGGCTTTTCCAAGATCTTTAGCGCTTTGGTTTCAAACTCGTCTTGACGTTTCTTTGGTGCTGAGGCACGCTTTTTTGTAAGTAAAGCTTGCGATGGCGTTTGTTTAGCGGTTGATGCATTTGGATTGGATAGATTGATCATATCCTAATCAATTTGAGAATCGCCTTCATTGCTACTATCATCTACATTCTGTTGCGCCATCGTTTCGGTATTTTTTTCTTGTGAAATACTGGATGTTGTAGTATTGTGTTCGATTGTTTTTGCAAGGAATTGCAACTGATCGTGGAAGATGTACTTTCTTATTCTTCTAAAACTAGAGCCTGACTTAAGAGTTTTATTTTTTTTATAACTCTTCACAAAACTGTCAAAAATGTTGTTCCATTTTTGCAATAGTGTTTTAGCTGAAAAAAAAAAGAAATAATTTTGTTGCAGGTATTTGGTAAGCGGTATGACTTTCACAGATCTTCACTACGCATACAGATTGGGACCATCAACAATACGTATTGTTAGGGATGTATGCAGGAAAATTTGGGAAATCCTACTTGATGAATGCATCCCACCGCCATCAGACAAGATGTGGAATGAATGTGAAGCAGGATTTGCTAATAAAGCCAATTTTCCAAATTGTTTCTGAGCGATAGATGGGAATCACATTCGAATTGTGAAGCCACAACGAAGTGGCTCATTATTTTACAACTACAAACATTTTTTTTCAATCGTGTTATTGGCTGTCGTGGACACATCATACTATTTTCGATATGTTGACATTGGAGCATACGGTAAAGAATGTGATTCCTCCGTATTTGAAGAGTCAACATTTTTTCATGCATTGAATTCAGATTCTTTGTATACACCTTGCCCAAAATGCTTACCAGGAACAGAAAATCCGGCTGTACCATATATTTTAGTTGGCGATGAGGCTTTTGGATTAAGTGATAAATTGCTACGTCCATTTGGTGGAAACAACTTAACACAGCAACAACGTGTATTTAATTACCGTTTATCACGTGCCAGGCGTTATGTTGAATGTGGATTCGGTATTTTTAGCAACAAATGGAGAATCTTTCATCGACCTATAAACGTACATCCCGAATTCGTCATTGACATTGTTAAAGCATGTTGTATCTTGCATAATTTAGTACGAATGAGAGATGGTTTTAATATCGGCGATGTCTTAGAAATCATAAACCTCGAAGACATACCAAGAGAGCGAAATTTGCGAGGATCAAGAAGCGGGAAGGATATACGGGACCATTTCACAAAATATTTCAATAGTAATGGATCTGTACCGTGGCAATTAAGTAAAATACAGTTAATATTGTTTCTTATCTTACATAGTTACATACCTATTTCGCCTTTTCTGCTTCGTTCAGGTTTTCATAAATAAATGTATCGATGATTTCTTGCCAGGCGGCTTTAGTTTTATTCCTATCCTTAAAATCCTCTCTTGCCTTGTCCATATCACGGCCTTTCTTCCACCATAGAAATAAATGCCTCAATATCTAAATTTTCCATTCGCACCTCATGACTACACTGTCTAAACGGAAATGAAACTACGACTCTGTACCACGGCGACAGTAGAATCCCCGTTCGTGTGTCAACAGGCATAGACTTGCTGCATTTGAAATGAACGCGCCGGTTAATTTACCGACGGCAGCCGTGTGTTCGCCGTACAAATTTTAATATGAACGGCGGCCGGTCGGCAGAATAGCCGGTACCGGCAAGTGTGTTAAGTTGTATTCGAATGTGGGTAAAATACCATCTTCCGATTTCTTGCCGGTCGGTGAACAGCCGGTCGGCGGATTGCACGTTCGTGTGCAAGAGCCCTTAGACTATACTCACAGTTTTCAATCATCGTATTTGAGTGACACAACGCTTTGTTTTCTTTTCTGGAGGCCTGGTTGTAACTTCTTTCTTTCGGTATTTCTTTGCATAGCGAGCTGTTTTAAATTCAGTGTCAGTGGAAGGATTAAATTCAATATTATATTTGTCTTGATATTTTTCCATCAACTGTTTTCAAGTTCCACACAGTCTTTACAGTTTTCTTCTAAACTATATTTCCTCTCTTTGATAAAATCCATAAACTGTCTCCATATACAGGAGAGCATGATGATATGCGAATATTTAGAGGGGGGATCTACATGAAAAATTAATGTTAGTTTGCTAAGCTATGGTCCAAAAATGTTTCCTTACAAAAGCTCCTGGTGTTGAAGTTTCAGGAAAAAAATGAAAATTAAATTATTTTCAGAACCGCTTCATATATTTTACTGATATTTAGTACGCCAATTTCCCATTCAATTTAAAACAAATGATCTTTCTTGAACTGTTTTTCTTCTATGCGCCATTTTTGAGTAAAAAAATAAAAACCGTTTTATTGTCTAACGCCAAACAAAAAAAAAACTTAAAAAAAAAAAAAAAACAAACTCTCACTGACAAAAGTACTAGTCTCTGTAGCACTTCACAACAAAGTTCTCGCTATCAAAAAATAAGTCACAGGAACTGCAAACAGAATTGAAACATGTACAAATCATATTTACCGGAGACCTAGACAATAAATTAGTATTACCAATAACCGGATAGAAAGTAATTTGATCACGATTTCCCAACCTAGGGACACGAAAATTAAGCTTACTTAATATGAATGAACAATCAACTTGATTGTGTATTGATTTTGTAGCAAATATACTAAGTGACATATAAATCCGAACACCCAGTTTAAATGGTTTTATTTTAATAAAATTTTGTATAAGTACTTAATGAAGCATAATGAGTAAATGATAAAAATTTCAAAATGATTGCACTGCTTCAAAGCCCTTTGACCTTTAATAATGTGTGGATGCACCCTGATGTGCTACGCATTCTCCAACGCGCCTAGGCATGCTCCTGATCAGGTGGTCAATGTCCTCCTGTGGTATCTCATTCCAGGTAACCACCAACTCCTCTCGAAGTGCTTCTAGAGTCTGAGGAGGACGTTGCAAATTGAGCAATCACCTACCCATCATATCCCACACGTGCTCAATTGGGGATAAGTCGGGATATCTTGGTGGCCATGGTAACAATGTGACATCATTATGTTGAAAGAAGTCTATTGTGACTCTTGCAACATGTGGTCGGGCATTATCTTGTTGGAAAGTTGGATCTGCCAGGGTGTCAAGATAGGGTAAAAGATGGGGTTCTAGAACTTCGTGGATATAACGCTGCGCGTTCATGTTACCTCTGATGAAGATTAAAGGGAACCATAAGCTATAGCACCCCAAACCGTAACTCCAACAGTGTGATGAACATGTCTTTCAACAAAAAACTGTGGATTCCTCCTTTCACCACGTCGCCTTCTAACCCTGGTACGACCATCGTGCATGCCTAAACAAAATCGAGACTCGTCACTAAAGACAATACTGTTCCATTCCTGATCCCAGAGTGACCGTTGTCTGCACCACTCAAGGCGATTACGTCGGTGTTCTCGAGTTAAAGGGAGGACCTAGCGTGGCCGGTATGAAAACAAGCCAAAACTTCTCATTCGTTGGTAAACACTTCGCATGCCAATAGGTCTTCCGTGCTCTGCAAACCATTCATTTGCAATGGACCTGGTAGTGGAGAAACGGTCCCTTAAGGCCAATAATCTTAGGCGGCGATCTTCACGGTCTGTTGTTCTACGGCGGCGTCCAGTGCCCCTTGCTCTTTGCGTACGGCCTTCTCGAAGCCATCCCTGACAACACCTAACCACAGTGTCTACACTTCTTTGCACTCTAACTGCAATTGCCCGAAAAGAAAGTCCAGCTTCCCGAAGTCCCACTATACGGCCCCTATCAAACTCACTAAGTTGACGAAATCGTACAGGTCTCCGTACTCTAGGCATCGTAACCGATCGTAAAGGATGTCAAGAACCAAAATCTGCCAACGTTGATTCTTTACTGCGGCTGAAATATTCATTTTTAGAGCGTTAGTGAATTAAAAAAAAGCAGTATAAAAACCGGAATGTCCAACTGATAAGGCTGAAAATTTTTTCACTTGTTATTTACAGTAAGATAAATACATTCACCAACTTTTATTAAAATAAAACCATTTAAACTGGGTGTTCGGATTTATATGTCACTTAGTATATGTTGATTTTTACAAGCATAAGGCACAGGAAGTTTTTAAATAAAAATTGGGAGTTAATGGAAGAATGAAGGCGCAATAAAAACTTGACAGAAAAACCTGACCGTTTTATCACTTGTTGTTAATGGCAAGATAAATCGCTTCTAGCATCGAAAACTAAAATTTGACCCCTTTTTGTGCCTTCTCTGATCCTGGATTCAGCTCCGATAATACATAAGTGTATCATGGTTTGTCCAATGGAAGTCTATTTTTTTGAAAAGCGTGTATAAACAATAAACTTCTAGACTCACCCAAATATTTTCATAGGCACAGCTGTTTAGTTCGTATTGCTATTGGATAGGAAGTGTTGTATTCTCAATTTTTTTTAAACAAGATTTAGTAGTAGTAGTAAATTGGTGGACATGGAAAATGTTACCGAAATTCACATCACTTGTACAGAGTAAGCAAAGGAAGGATGTTTTTTTGGCAAGGTTTGGGACCAGGTCAGATTCTCAATTTGAGAAGTACTTCAATCTTTTCTCGGGCGCAGGAAATTCCACTTGATGCGACAGTATGAAGAAAAACATCCATCCTTAAGAGAAACCTAACTCTTTTTTAAAATGCGATAATTTGAGTTCCAACCGACTTCCAAAAAATTTGAGATAACACCTTTTTAGGATATTTTATAGATCAAAAATATGCATAGACAAATTTCGAAGATCAAAAATTGTGAATCCGACATAACTCCAAACTTTGCTAAAAAACATGACTTCCTTTGATCACTCTGTATAAGTGAATAAATAAGATAAATATACACATCGTACGTGTTCTCAAAGAGTTGATAAAGAACCTCCTGGATACCGCAGTTCAATATCTCATTCCGTTCAGAAAATATCGGGATTTGAATTTGGATAAAATTTTCCATGCTGACTCTCAATCTTTTCTGTATTCTCTGAGTTCGGCACTCATTCTATACACTACTTTTATATCTAATCGTAACGGTCTATTACCTGGCGTCTTCCTTCAAAAAAGAATTCCTTCAATCCAATGCCAAGTAACTGAAACATTGTTCTCATTTCAGGTGCTCCGCGCGAACAAAGAACGCCAAAGACTGTCCCGTCTCCAGAAGCGCGAGATCGGTCTGGCGACGATGCTCCTCTGCGTGGTGGCGGTCTTCTTCATCTGCAACGTCCTTCCGCTGGTCATCAACATCATCGAGACCTTCAACATCCCTTTGACCTTCAACCTGGTCTACCTGATCCACACCAGCAACCTGCTAGTCACCATCAACTCCAGCGTGAACTTCATCATCTACGTGACGTTCGGAGAGAAGTTCCAAAGGCTTTTTTTAGTATTATTCTGCCACAACTCTCTGCTGGGGTTGGGCAGGGACTCTCCGGAAGCCACCACCAATGAGGAGGTTACTTATGTCTCGTTGGCCGATAGGCAGAGCCTCAGGTGAGTTTGGTTTGGAAGCCTTTAGAAAGTATTTTATTTTCATCTTTTCTTTGAATGCCTAGCTTTCGCCAAAGATTGCACGGGACATCTTAAGGCGGGCTTACACGCTACGTCTTATTGTACGTTTTGTTGGGTATACACAAAACGTACGACAAAACGTACGTTTTGGCCACTGTATACACACTACGTGTTTTACCTTCCGCTTTCTACTGCAGTTCCAATCTAGACTCTTGAGTTGTGTGAAGTTTGGTTAGTGAATTTGTTTGACAGACATTTTTATATTACGGAGGAAACACGGCTGCTTTCTTTCATTTTTTCAACTACAAGGATGCAACGACTCAGAGGAAAAGGGATGAAGAGGGAAAAGACAAGATGGTCAAGGAAATGGCTTCTGAAAAGGTGCTTGTATTCTCACGTCTCGTTATTGTAACAACTGAGGAGCGAACTTAATAACAATAATTTGCGAATGGAGTTAGTAATAGAGATTTCTGATGCCTTCACTTTCTTCAACTCTATTTTGTAAACAGATCTCAATGAGTTTATCTTTTGTATCAGTCTCTTTATTTGCAATAGGTTCTATTTCTTTGTATTTTCTTATAAGATCCTCATACACGACGTTTTTCTTATTACGGTCACTATAGTCTTTATTTTTCACTTGCCACGTGAGTTCCCCGAGAAAATCGTATGTGCATTGCCTGACATTATTAGGTTTTTTGGGAAGCTAACTGAAGTGGAGCTACTAGTGAACAGATCGGACGTCTTGTGTGAACATGAGTCTACACGTTTCGCTTTGTCCTATCAGTCCTTGAAAAATGATGCTTCTACCATCAGTTTTTCAATCTGACCTTGGATTTCATTTCGCTCCGACAAGACATACATTTTGCTGTTTACGCGCCACGTTTTATTAGTTAGGATGTGTCCGGTCCCACAAAACGTACAATAAGACGTAGCGTGTAAACCCGCCTTTAGATAGATCTAGGTCAAACCGTTCTATTTAGTGATTTGAATTCATTGATACAACTCCGGCCTAGGAATCGATTATTTCTATCCTCTCACGAGTCCGGTTCTTTTCGATTCCATTTCATTTAGATTCCGACTCCGACTCCGATGCATTTCAATTCCGATTCAAGTCCACTACATGGGTGTACTTACCCTGTTATGTAATAAAAAAGCCTCAGAACTAAACACTTGCTCAGGAGGAAGATGCCATTTTTTGTACATCCCGAGATCGAACTATCGAGCTTAATCTACATACAACAGATTTCTTTCATCCTCGTAACAAATTAAGATAACAAGTTTCGGTGTGAATACTCTGTTTATGAATTGAATAACATATTCCTCACTTGTGAATATTTACGTACCCATCCTCCCATCCCCATCTCTAGTATTCGTTTTCCTCTACTGTTGACAGTTGATACAGTTGTAGTGCTGCCAAGCTAACAACAGTAAAGATGAATAATATGTATTAACACAGAAATGTTTGTTATCTTAACACATTGCGGTTGACGCTAATTACATTTATTTTTCAATTCAATTAAAATAGTCGAAATGGAGTGTAATTTATTTTGTGGATATACCGCGATTTTTCCTTGAACAATTTCATGTGGTAGCACTGGGAGGTCCTGTGACTAGAAAGCCGAGCTGATGAAACGCACAAGCCAGTTCTGGTTTCAAATATAATAAAGATCTTCCTTTGCTTTTCATTTTTCCCAAAAAACGTACATACGTTTATTAAAAATATGGTGCACCAATTTCGTGCACACACTTAGGATTTGTATGTCAAACAGTAGCTCATATATCTACAAATTGCATTAGACGGCAGTTTAATCGACAATCAACACTTTGATGCATTTTTAAATAAATATCTTTTTTATCTAAAATTATCTCTTTTAGAATCTCTTCTCAACAGAGTGCTCTGTAATTGATGTCTTATCAATCTAGGCATTATACAAGATTTGATCGACGATTCGGGCAGGAATTAAAGGGCCCTTCCGGCTGGGGTCCAGTTTTACAGTTTTCATCTCCGGATCAACTGAAAAAATACGTTTTTGTAGCTAAACCAGGTGATTTATTAATAATTTTTCTGATTTAGTATGGGGATTAGAGATCCTTCTTACACAAATCGTATATTTTTTTGCTAGTTTGTTGGATATTTTCGAAAAAATTGACTCATTGTCTGATAGAGTGAGAGTATACATGGCTTTATTCAATCATAGCTTCTTTTTCAGTTAATGTTTGTCATTTAGCTCAGTCGGTCCTTTATGGCCTCCTTGATTTTCATAGCTCTCTATTTTGAGGTTATGTCACAAATATCTATTTGAATAAAATTGTCCACGCTTTTGATTGTTATCATCTGCTTTATCAGTCTGAAATTTCCTACAATTCAAAAATAAAACATAATTAAGAGAACGCTGACGCGGAGAGAAAAGGATATGAAAATCAAGGTCGCCTTTATGGCTCAAGGACACGTTTCGTCTACATGTTGAGATCCATGCGAATTACAAAACCTTACTTCAACGTCAGTGTTACTGTACCGAATAATTAATTTGTCAGGAATAAGGGTCCTTTTAGTCTTTACATTTTATACCCTAATAAGCGAAAACCGGAGAATTTTAATTAATCTAACATTTAGTCTCTCTTGTCGTACGTTGGATCGCCAAAACAGTTGATTGTGGCGACATCATGGAGAATGAAGTACGGAGCAACGTCCTCTAGCAGACATGACGAATATTTCAAATAGCTATAAGATACGTGCCTGGAGTTGTTGCAGATGCTCGCGGTAACTAAATTCAGAAACAGGAATGTGATTTGGAATATGAGCAGGTTCCTGGGCAGAGCGTTTTGTTCCAGAGTAATTCTGATACTAGACCAAATATTATTAAAAAACGGTTAGAGGTAGGTATCGGATGCTATACATGGATTATATCTGGAATCGAGCAACGATTTTAAAAATTGAAAAATATACAGGGTGTTTCATTCAAAATAAGCAACTCCAGGTACAATCAGAAAGTCCACTATTTTGAAAATATCCAAGCCAAATTCCTCATGTCAATTATATCATAATCTCAAGTTTTATTTATTTATTTATCAACGAGCAACTGCCCAATTAAAGTACAGCACAGAAAATCTAATCTAAACCTAACCCTACTTTGACTTAGATATTTAACACTTAAAAACAATCACAAACACTTTACAATCCAGATCATTTCTAAATTGAAGCGAATTTAATTAACATTTAAATATATGGGGAAATCAAATATTAAATATTACAGACAGGAATCTAATTGAATTTCGAATGTTTTCTGACTTCTCAAGAAATCCCACTTGTTACAATACTGCTTTGCTAACCTTGAAGATCTAGACAGGAAGGAATTACTAGCATAATTAGTACGAAATGATCTCACTTGGAATGGTTGATTCAGTCTTGTTTGATGAAAAGGCACATGGCGATTAATATTTTTCAAAAGTTCTATAGCAGAACTAAGAGAGTGCCAAATATTATGAAATATTGACAGGTCCCTCTTATTCCGTCTTACCTGAAGGGTTTGGATACTGATAGAGCTTTCAATGACGGAATAGATAATATCTTGAACCATAACTTTTTGTTTGAATGAAATGAATCTTAAGAATTTATGTTGCACTCTCTCAATTGCCTGAATATGAACATTATAGTTGGATGACCAAACACAAGAACAATACTGCAGATGGGGTCTCACCAAAGGACAAAACAACGTTTTAAATGACTGAATATTATGAAAATCCTTTGCACATCGTTTTATAAATCCCAACAGTTGAACAGATTTAGAAACAATCATGTTTATATGGGTAATAAAGGATAATTTTGGGTCAAGAATTACCCCTAGATCTCTTACTTGGGACACACTCTTGAGAGGACAACCTTTTATGGTATAAGTATGGGGTCCCTGTTACGGCTGAAGACCATTAAATTAAATTTTTCCACATTAAGTTCCATTCTATTCATCTGACTTGATGAATTCTAATCATTTTGGATATTTAAACAATTTATTATTATATTTGATTTTTAAGAATAATTAAAAATCATTTGCAAACATTAGAAAACTAACAGACTTAAAACAGTATGTATATCATTCACGTATATATTGAAAAGAATAGGACCCAGGTTGGAACCTTGAGGTACTCCAGATGGCACATTAATCTCATTATCTAACTTCGAATAGTGTATCGCTACAGTTCCACGTGTATACGTTTGACGTCAAGCCGGAAAAGGGAGATAGGCTAAGTCGTAATAGTTATCAGAAAAATATAAAAAATCTAAGCAGCAGTTACTTTGAAAATAGTTTTTCAATATTTCCCGCCTTTGTTCAAGATTAAAACGATCCGTTGCTCACAGCGGAAGTTTGACACAATTTATCTGTCAATATGTTGAGCATGGTAGTGTTACCAACTGTCAAAAAAATACCAACTTAAAAAAAACAACTGATGCCCACCCTTTATCAGCCTATCCCCCATTTCCACCTTAACGTCAACTTCTGGGACACCCTGTACATATACTTCACTAGGTGGCACCCAATCAGCTAAACTGTCGGATTAAATTGCAATTCTACTATTGGTAGTTTCAATTATATAGTCTGAAACTAAAAGAACATACCTCGTACCCTTTGACCCTAACCATCTCAGTGGTGAACGCAAAAAGTAAATGTAATGTACAAGCCTGGCAATAGTGATACCGACATTTACTTCAAACGAGCTTTTTATAGCGGGAGAAAAAAATGTCAATCAAGTGTTCCAGCTGTGTGAGGTATCAGAGTTCGGCGCTCACAAAAAAGCTAATATACTCGAAACCCTTTTCAAAGGACGCATCGATGTGACTGGTAGCAGCTATAATCTGCTCCTTGCTGTCCTGAAATAACGTCTCGTCCTTCGAGGACTTATTTAAAAAGATATGCTATGTTTTTTTAATGCAATGGGGATTTTCCATTTGGATAAAATTAGGAATAGTAGTAATAATTATGATATGTATTTATTGCATTTTCAACATCACAACATGACAAGGCACGTTGGCGGAGTCTAGCCGTTTTCCAATATTTTAAAATATAAAAAAGTCTACATTGAATATTTGTTTGCAGGGTGTAAAGTTAGTAGTGGATCAACGGAAGTCAGGCGATACAGGGTCTCAAAACATATCGAATGAATCCCTATATGTGTGGTCCGAAATTTTATAGTTCAAGGAATAGTTGCAGTTTCGTGAAATTTCGAAAAAACGGGATAATGAACTTTCAATAGCAATTACAACTAAACCATTAGGCTTAGGGCTGTGCTTTTTTGGGATTAGCTAAATGGTTAGTTTTAGCAATGGTTATGCCACTTTTTAACAGAGCTGACTATAAATCAACGCAAAAAATCTTAAATTAATTTTTTTTTTGTGAAAAGTCTCTTCAATCCCTCAACTTTGGAGGGAGGTTGTATTTTATTATTCATTTTATCGTAGAAACTCGTATACGCTTTGAAAGACTTTCTTAGTACCCCAGAAGCGTGTTCTGTTAATAAACGTTATACACCTGTTATACCGCTGAGAACTGTACGAAAGCCATACTTGACAGCCTATATACTATAAATAAAGTGGATAAGGCGAAAAAAGGAAATGTGAGGACCATTTTTTCCTAACGACCCTCTCTAGGCAATATAGCAAACAATGAACTGTAAACGAGAGAGCAATGCCCTAAAGATGAGCTTCATAGAAAGTGCTTCTATTTGCCGTATCGATCAGATTTGATTGTACACAGGATTACTTAGATGATTGATTCTCATGTTGACTCTGGTGTGACACCACTCTCAGTAAATGGAGAATTAAGGCTCGACGCGGCCGTTTGCTTTGTGGGTGGCCGATATGTAACTGACTGGTTTGTATCTTGAATATTTGTGAAATGAAATATACGTCCATTTTTTCGTCTTAATATTTTATTGAAACTTAAAAATTATGTATGAATGATAATATCAGACAAATGTCCGCCGCTAGAAGCCGCGCAAACCTGAGCCCTCTTGAATATTGTTCGCAAAAGATTCATTCTTTCCCTAGCAGTGTGACATGTTGCTTACTCTAACCACATGTTTTGCAGGTTAAATTGTTGGATTTGAGGAACCAGAAAGTTTTGCTGCAGCATTACTCAAACAGTGCTAGTCAGCTTATGTAGTAAAAATGAGGATTCGCTTTGGAAGTGATTCTTCAACTAATATTGATCTGGAGATTGATATACACCTTAGGAAAAACCATTGTTATACATGGGAAATCATTTCTTGGCAACAGCGCATCGGCTCGTCTACTTTCATCGCTATTCGTACATATTTCCTACCGTTAACCGCAGACCTGTATCACGAATGAGAATAATAGGCAGATACGCTGTGTTGCCAACTTGAGTAGAGCTTCCCGAATTGTGGGGAATTTAGAGTTAAGTGTTGATTCATTCAAGCTTTTAATCAGCATGGCCTAGACGTTAGAACTTCATAAAGATAACATTGAAGCTGAATGCTGCTGGAGTATAGTGTTTCGAATATTCAAAGCGGAGCGGGACACTATACTCGTTCAATGGGTCATCAAGCCACAGTCTTTTCAACAAAGAAATTATTTTACGAAAATGCGTTATATTTTTACGTCTATTGTAGAATTTTCAGCAAACTAAGCAAGAAACGTTATCTAGTATTTACTCAACATTACGGATTTCTCGAAATACATTAAAAAATGTGACCTAGATACCTAACTGCCCCAAGCTCTTTAAATATAACACCTTAAACCAGGGTTACCAGGTGCTCAGTCACGTTGATTGTCATGTTGTACTGCGCAAGTCAGCAAACAATCTGGCGTAATAAACGTTAGGAATCATCAGGTTTTGCCAGATTCCCGAATACCGGGCACCATAGTAACCGTTATAGTTGTACTTCAAAGTTGTCAAATCGCCCCTATGGCGCAAATTCGCCACACCAGGCAACTGTGCTATAAACAAACCCTGTTTATCACTACTATTTGATAGTCATATGGTAGTTGTAGCCCTATCTAGCGGTCCATGATTTCTCTCAATACTGTTGTATCTCTACTGGCAACAAGAATAGGGATTACAAAATCATTTATACAACAATATACAAACATGAAAAATATGATTTGAACCATGAAACATTAATACAATTTTAATAGTTTGAACTTTTTTCATTTTTGGAATACTCTTATGTGGAATCCGCAGCTATTTTCCTCGAAATTTGGGTAGACTTAGATTTCTTAGAAATATGACATATTGGTATCGGCAACTCTGCGAATGGGAGAAACAAATCGCATTTGTTGAGCGCATCCATCTAAGCGGTAGGCGCCAGCGCCCGTTCTGCCATCTCTCTCTTTTATCACTCTTCTACTTTACCCCGTTGTCCGTCACACTCCGACGCTGCCAGATACGATCCTGCAATCGAGTATCTTTCACGCACCTACATACTTTTGTATATTTCCATCTCTCTTCCTCATCATAATGTATAATAATGGTTTTTCCCAAGGTGTATACCTCTGTATATGACTAATCTCTCAGTGATTGCAATGTGCGCAATTTATTTAACAAAAAACATAGGATGTCAACCCTAACACACATCTAGATGAGTATGCAAGGCTCACCTCGTTTGCTGCGCAGATATCTTGTTTCCCTCAGAAGAGTTCCAACTCTCCTCCAGGTAGACCTAATTTCTACTTTGGAGACACTTGACACCTTCTTCCCAACACTAAAATACCAAATCAATACTGAGAGATAATCGAGAACCCTATAGTGAACACCACTACTGAAAAAAGGTTGCTAAACTGGATAGAGCTCTGCACGGAGCTTCGAACGCGAGTGCTGTACCTGGCTGCGGCGATACGCTACGACCGGGTAGTACAGCCACGCCTCTTTCCAGCCCTCACTCCGCGCGTTTGCTACCTGTCAACGTAAACATCGAGACGCTTCGGGAGCAGACGCGCGGAGTTGGAGTTAGAAAGGGGGGTGGCTGTACTACCCGGCCGGAGCGAGGTACAGCACTCGCACGCTTCAGTCTCTCGGCAACCGTCAGCGCAGCGGAATGTCTGCGCGTTCACAGCTCCGTACAGAGCTCTGTTTGGTTTGGCTACTTCTTTCAGTAGTGTTGATCACTGTAGGGTTCTCGATTGTCTCTCAGTGGTGCCTTGGTGTTGTGACGTGGGTGTCAAGTGTCTCCAAAGTGGAAATTAGGTCTACTTCCAACTCTTCTGAGGGAAACAGGATATCTGTGCATGAAACTAGGTGAGCCTTGCATACTCATCTACTTGTGTGTTAGGGTTGACATAATGTTTTTATAAATAATTTGCGCACATTGCATGCACTGAGAAATTCATATACTGTGGTATTTGAGAAGAACTAAAATTTGGCCACATCGTTTTTATTTTTGTCTGACTTTATTTTACGAAATGTCAGAAGACTAATGGCACTATTTAGGCACTACATGATAATGTTTTTAAAAAAGTGCTACACTGTATCTAACAGCAGCTTTTTCAACGATGTATCACGTTACATTTGTTTTTTAGTTATAGATAAACTCGTTTTTTCTACTTTTCGATTATATTTAAGTAGGCGTTACAGAAACTTGCACTAATCTAACGTTCTTGTAAGGCCTCGAACAAAAGGTCCAAGGAATTGGTGATAGCAGAGGTAGCAAAATCGTCCGATGATCAAGTTTCAAAACGTATGTGTATCCCAGGGTAACGACGGAGTCATTTAGAACGTGAATGCGGCAGTTTTGCAATCTTCATTTGGATATTTTTAAGTATTATTCGACGATTTCGAGAAAAATTTATCTACGGATTGTCTAGTAGAGTATATGTTGCGTGGCCATGTTATCTTTACTCTGGCCAGTACATACTGTTTTGATTGCTTCGAAGTTCATTAACCCATAAATTGATAATAAATGATTATTACTATGTTGTAACGAAAGACGACGAATTGGTCGGAATACATTTTATATTATTTTTCATGCAAAATACAAACAAATCCACATATTTCAACAGCTATGTAGCTCTAATGATAACATATAAACACTCAGTATATTGAACTTGACAAATTGGTGAAATTGGGCCTAAATCATTTTCAGCGATGTGGCCCATTTATCTGATGTGTTGTTTCATACATAACTCCAAAGTACCATAATCCAATAAATATTTCAGTTGTGCGTTACGAATTACCATGTTTAATAGAACCTTGAAATATTACGTCCTTATTGAAACACCCTGTATGTTCTCACAAAAAAGTACGAATTTCGTATGAAATGTTAAAAACTGTCAACTGTCAAGCTTAAGTCTGATCGACTTGTATAAACTTCCATCCAGACCAAAGACTATGAGATTTTGGAAACAAACCTAGTCTGAGTTCGTTGGTGGTTTACTATGTACCTTTGTGACGTATGTCTTACAAATATTTATTTGTTTCAGGCGCATGCGCCAAAGTCTCATCCGCAACGGAACGGTGAACAGCCGGAACGGATCGCTGGCCAGCAGTTGCATGCTGACCACAACCGGAGGTTCCAGGAATGGTTCCTTCATTGGCGGGACCAGAAGTAGTGGAGACCTTCTCAGGGCAAGCAGTAGAAGTAGGACCTCTAGTCCGGGTCCTTGTGTCTACTATCCTGCTCAAAGTGCCATGAGGAATGGAAAAGAACACCATAACACATTTCTGTGAACTGTTTTTAAGAACTAGGGGTCACATAGGCGTCATCTGAGCCAAAAGTAGAAGTCAGATCACAAGTCTCGGTCTTGGTGTCTACTACCTAGCTGAAAGTGTCTACTATCCGGCTCAAAATGTCTAGAAACAGAAAAGACGGTACGATTTCTGTGAACTGATTTTTTAAGCTAGTGAATAAACTATAAAGTGAAAATATGTGATGAAATACTGAATACTGAAAAGCACATCAAGAATGTTATAACTTATTATCATTTGAAGAACAACTTCTCCTTAATGCTATATATATATATACATATAGTCAACGCCAAACAAAGTGGCGTGCACGTCATCACGATAAAAATTCCCCGACCTAATGCCTAGGTTTCTATCACAAACAATTGCTCTATTGCAGTTTCATATTAATGTGATATATAAATTGTAAAATGGTCATTACTCTCTTATTATGGTTAATAGTCATATAAACATTGTCATTAAAATATCACATAAGTTGCTTTCTGATAAATTTAGACGCATTATGCGAAATAAAATGTTTTGCAAACGCTCCAATCACTTATCGACATGTAAACGCACTAAACCGATTTCGCAGCGTTGACACATTGTCACCTTGAAACTTATTTAAACTGGGAACTGACATTTGTATTAATTTTGACACTGAATCAATTTGTGGCATTTCAAATCTTTATAAATCCTTTGGCCCCGCATACTGTAAATCAACAACTGTTTGTTTCAAAACAAAATTATTCATTTTACGAGTAGATAAAGGCAATTTTGGTATATAAAGATGCCCAAACAGTTAAATAGTCGGTGTAAGGAACTCGTGGCCTCGTTAATGCACTACTTTGAGCAAGAAAGGGACAACAACGGGCCTTTGTTGCCTTTAAATGCTGTTCAAGAGGTAGGTTACTAATAATTATATGTAATGTATATTAATAATAGTGAAATTTTATTTCATTTTTTGTAGCGTGTTGCTGCTGCTTTAAAAATTAGTTTAAGGACAGTTAGTCGTATTTCCGAGGGTGTGAAAAGTGATGCAAATTTAGAATCGCCCAAGAAAAAGCGGAGTTATATTAAACGTGTAACCAACACAGCGACATTGGATACAAGTGCCATTCGAGAAGTGATCTATAATATGTATCACAAAAGTAAGATCTTATTATAATAACTTATCAGAAATTTGCATTAATTTGTTAACTAAATTATAATGTCATATTACACATGGTTTCAGAAGAACAAGTTACGATACAAACTTTATGGTCTCGATTAAGAGATAGGGCATTATTTGATGGTAGTGCCACGTCTTTAAGGCGGTTGCTTAGAGATCTTGGATTTAAGTGGCTTAAGGACAATCCGCGACGAGGGCTCATGGAACTACCAAGTATAGCTTTGAAAAGGGTGGAATTTCTAAGGCAATACAATCAAGCCAAGGTTGAGGCCTTATACCAGTTTGTCTTCCTCGATGAAACTTGGATATTTCAAAATGGGACCATAGGTCGCTCTTGGCAAAATGGAAACCAAAAAAGCGTGAAAGCTATTAAAACAGATGGTAAAAGGTATGTACTTTTACACAATTTGCACTATAAAATTTAAAACTAATATATTTTAGATACATTATATTACATGCTGGAAATGAAAATGGGTTTATTGAGGGTAGTGAAGCGATATTTTCTTCGAAAACAAAATTGAGCGATTACCATGGAGAGATGAACCAGGACAATTTTTTGAAATGGTTTCAACATCAGTTATTAGAAAAATTGGAGAGTCCATCTATGATTATACTGGATAACGCCCCTTATCACAGCATGATATTGAACAAAGTGCCCAACAATGCATGGACAAAAAAAAATATCCAAGACTGGTTGACAAATCAAAACATACCATTTTTAAACACAATGTTTAAAACAGAGCTATTGAGTATTGTTGCTCGGTACATAATGCTTCTTAATTATATATATTTTGGTCGACAGTTTATATTTCTTTTGTTTATTCCTATTCTTAAAATAACTGCTTTTTTAGAAACAAACCACCTAAAATATACGTGATTGATGAATTGGCGGAACAACATGGGCACAAAGTTCTTCGTCTGCCTCCTTACCATTGTATATTTAACCCAATTGAGTTAATTTGGGGCATAGCAAGAGGTTACTATAACAGACATATTGGTAGAGATGGTAACAGTGAAAAAGACTGTTTGGATATGTGGAACGAGGCTCTACAATCGGTTACCCCAGACATGTGGAAAAATCGACATACTGAGCAAGAAATTTTTAAATGGTATGAAAGAGAACGAATTTTTGATCGACCAGACATCGAACCTTTAATAATCAACTTTGAGAGTGATGAAGATTCAGATTCAGACAGCGCTGAAGAAAGAAACTCCGACTAACTTTATTGTACAGAAAAAGCTTACACCAGTAGCTTACCTAATTTTAGAATGCATTTTTCTGTATGAATTCTGTAAAATAAATACCATGCATAAAATTTGGAGGACCCCATTTGGATTTTTATTCAGTACCTTTAAGCTATCAATTAAATATGGTAGTTTCATAGTGTCATCTGATCAATAATTGTCATACTTAATGATTATGCAAGTACAGATCTATAATTTTATTATACTATTATTTTTGTTCTCATTTGAGGTTAATATTGCTTATAAACCTAGATATGTAAATAATAAATTTTATTATTTTACAAAAAGTTTGGCAACAATGTAAATTTTTCAACACACCCACCTTGATGACGTGCACGCCACTTTGTTTGGCGTTGACTATATATAGTGCCTTCATTGGAAACTACTCTATGAACCAGTGGTGCCGAAACCTGAGCATTTGGCCAAACAATTCCGCTTTCTAGTATAGGCCATCAAATTCTTCATATATTTTAATTGCTATACATACTTTAGTGCATAAATTAATACCCAAACTTCATTATGAAAAGTATAGTCAATACACCAGCTGGAGACAGATACTTTATGACATATACACACCAGGACGAAATGCATCACGAATTACTGCTGCGTCTACCGACTTCTGGGAGGGTCTCACACTACGGGCGTAGCAGGCCTGTGCATATGGCCATCAAGTTATTTTGCTTGACAGTGATCGAAGTTTTCCACTTCACTTACAATACAGATTTTCAGAAACTATAAACAGTCGAGCTTTTGATAACATGATCTCAATCATTTTGATTTGTTCGGGGTCTTTCCAACTAAAGTATGTTTATTTCTGAGTCGATTTCTGTTTATATCAAATCACTTCCTTGTTATTTCCTGATGCAATCCCCAAAGAACTTGGCAGGCCTAGATACTTCGTATGATTTCGATAACATCATCTTAAGATTCTGGAATCTCATAATAAGAGGGTTAATAGATATATCTACCCTCTCCGATCAACACACTTCAACTGCTGTACATATTCACTACGAATAATAAGAGAAACTGGTTCAATACGTTATATTTTCAAATGTTCTGACATTATTTACGTGGGCAAGGTAAAATGTCAATGTTCATTTATCCACAACGAAAATTGAGACCTATACAGGGCGTACACTTTATACTCTTTGTTGAATAAACTCCAATGCTTCTGGTCTTATTTTTGAATCAATATAAAGGACCTATGCCGAATGTAACGGCAGCTATTGTTGCTGGCCCAATAAAAGTAGTAAAAACACTTTTCTATTGGAGAATTTATTTTTGAGTTCTTTTTATCTTGACCACGTAATATAATCCTTTTTTTTCAGCTTGTGATAACTGGTGAACAAGGTAAGACTTCAGTCTAACACCTGTTCATGTGTATGTATAATACTTCGTTAGTTGTAAGAAGCATCTCTAAGAATGTAAAAGTATTCAGATTATATGGTTAAATAAATATAAAGACTATGAGAGCACTATAAATATCTTGCTTCATTTCAGTCTACGTACCATAAAAGCATCAACAAAAAATATATCACTATGAGCGAAAAAACAGCAAGGATAGATTTTTCCCCGATTTAAGATTTCAAGGGAAATTTCTCCAATGAATAAAAAATTTGCCCCGGTTTCCTCTACCAGCTAGATTAATCTGAACAGGACTGAATTTTTTTGTCATTTCCCTGCTATAAAGATTTTCCAAGAAATGCTTTAATTTTAACGAAGAATTTCAAAGCAAATATTTGCAAATTGTTTTTAATAGCTTCGAGTTAAGAACGAGTTTATGAGAGTAATAAGGCCTTTGTCTCTACTTCTTTACATGGTGTACTTCATCAAAGAGCGAAAGGGTAAATTTTATGATGACACGCTAAATTTAATATGGATCTGGCGGCAGGATATGAAATAATATTACGAGAACAGGTTTGAAAATAAATTACGGGTATAAAAATCTAAGTTTAGTTATTCTGGTCGACAGACCTACTCGTATGAACGTTTCAGTCAGAACTGCAAGACTTAGGCTTATCGATGGTCACGTGGCTAGGCGGAATGACAAAAATAACCAACAGGAATGAGTGGGTAGTATAGAAAGCCATTGTAGCAAATAAACGGTTATTATTTCTTTATTTACTGCATGACTGAAACCACCATATCACTAGGTAACACTTTATTTTATTATGTTACTTATGAAGTATTTTCTAATCGCAGGAAAATATATTAAGCTTTTTGTGACGGCCTTCCAAGGAAGAAGACTCCATACAAACTCGATATAGTAAATCGGAGATTTATAGCAAAACTTGCCTTGTGATAAAATATCACTTAATGCACATATAAAGGCATATTACTGGAACGGAACAAGGCGCACAATACTCATAAAAATACTCAACAAAAAGTACTAGAAGTCCTAAAACTAATAATTGCTGTCAATTATTTGAACAACCTTTCAAGGAACCACGCGCTTTCCTTAAAAAGTGACGTTTTGCTGTGAGCTCGTTTTAAGTTTTAACGTCGATGACCGAAGTCAACAAACTGAGGCACCGCACTGACAAAATAACGACGAAAGCGACTGGACAGCACGTCAGTGTCCATAAATTTGGCAATAACTACGACTTTTTGATAATCGTCCTGTTATTCCTTTGACAAGAGAAAGCTTTTGGAGCCGTTATCAGGCAGAAAATCTCTGGACAGCGAGTCTGTGTTCATAAATTTGTGAGTAGCAGGAATTCTTCGACACAAGGCAGTAACTACGACTTTTTAATAATCGTCCTGTTATTTCTTTGACAAGATAAAGCTTTTGGAGCCATTATCAGGCAGAAAATCTCTGGACAGCGAGTCTGTGTTCATAAATTTGTGAGTAGCAGGAATTCTTCGACACAAGGCAGTAACTACGACTTTTTAATAATCGTCCTGTTATTTCTTTGACAAGAGAAAGCTTTTGGAGCCACTATCAGGCAGAAAATCTCTGGACAGCGAGTCTGTGTTCATAACTTTGTGAGTAGCAGGAATTCTTCGACACAAGGCAGTAACTACGACTTTTTAATAATCGTCCTGTTATTTCTTTGACAAGATAAAGCTTTTGGAGCCATTATCAGGCAGAAAATCTCTGGACAGCGAGTCTGTGTTCATAAATTTGTGAGTAGCAGGAATTCTTCGACACAAGGCAGTAACTACGACTTTTTAATAATCGTCCTGTTATTTCTTTGACAAGAGAAAGCTTTTGGAGCCACTATCAGGCAGAAAATCTCTGGACAGCGAGTCTGTGTTC